AATTAAAGACATATAAATGAAAGACACTTATGTTTAACTGTTGAAGAAAGTTAGCCTACTTAATGTAAAAATAACCTTAATGCACTTTTTTTTGACCGACAAATTAAAAACATAAACCCAAATGATAGAACAAAACTGTCAAACTAATTGTTTATTTGATTTATTTAGCTAATTAATATTCTTTTTGGTGTTTTTCCTTCTTAAGTAAAATTGGCTCATAAAAAGTTTGCATAATCTAAGAATAACTTTTAAGTCTTACAATAGCAATCCATGCGTTATTGTCTATTCGTATTAAATTCTGATCGCTTTTTTATGCGCTGTTTCGTATTCGGACTATATTCTGATCAATTCATGCGCTATTTTCTATAAGAACTATATTCTGATCACAAATTCATCCGGACTACATTCTGCCACAAATGTATGCGACATTTTCTATACGGACTATATTCTGATCACAAATTCATGCGCTATTTCCTATCCGGACTATATTCTGTAACAAATTCATGCGATATTTTCTATTTGGACTCAAAGTCATGCCAACTATATTCTGATCACAAATTCATCCGAACTATATTCTGCCACAAATTCATGCGCTATTTTCTATACGGACTATATTCTGATTACATGTGGATGCAAGTTGCACATCCACACAAACTTCATGCGCTAGTTTCTATTTGGACTTGCAATGCAATTGGTTTTACAAATAACATGTAACTAAGCCAAACTCAGCTTTCTGCCCAATCCCAAAATGTATTTTGAAAATATTGTTATGTTATGTTGAATAAAGCCACATTCTAACCGTCAAATAAAGAGATTCGTCAACAACTAAAAATAGAAACTATATACGTATATATATTAAACTTCTGTCATTCAAAAAGATAAATTAGGTTGAAAAGAATCAGCAAAAATTCTTTTTGAACGCTATATATTGAAGATGAATTATGACGACGCAACAAAATACAATGTATATCCACTTAATTTTATTTATGTAACAAGTGTTACACTTTAAAGAAAGATAACTAAAATATTTCTACAGCTTTTAAAAGGGGACTGGGGTGGGGGTTGGGGGTTAGAGCGACTGGTAATAATTGTAATTGTAAGAGGTGATTTTTTTTGTAATACGTTAAACTAGCTTAGTAGTCGCTGGCTGTTTTTTCACAGACCCGCACTGAGTGTCCAAAACAGATACAAAGTTTAAATGAATAAACTGTTAGATTAGCCATGTTAAAGTCAGTGTTTGGGAGTTTCCTATTCAGGTCTTCTCATTGGCGAAAAAGTAGGCCATAAACTATATACTGTTGATTTCGGTTTTTTTAGGTATTTTCCTATTTAGGTAATCTCATTGGTCGAAAAACTAGGTCACATACTTAACACGGTTAGCTTCATTCAATTATTTTGTCTGGCCTCGTCAGTATAATGTAATTAAATAAATCGTGCGCTCATCGTGTGCTTTTACGTTGGTCAGTAAAATGTGATATATATTTGTAGTATGGTCATTTATAGATTATTGATTTCATATTGATTTATCGGAGTACGTCGCGTGTTTTATATAAAACATGACTATTTTACGACATACTGACACGATTCAGAACGGTTTGCGGTCAGTGTTAATAAAGTGATTGTTACAACGCTTTTCAATCGAACTGGGCCAAGAAAATCAATAACAATCGATTTTCAATTTAATTTTGAGAATGTCTCTTTATTTTTTTTTAAAAGCTTGCATATTTGTCCATTTTAAATGCTTCACTTGATCTATGTAAAAAAATCCCTTTTATATTTTCAAGGCTTTTTTTCCTCTGTGGAGTTCCTTTAAGATATCTAAAATAATAAACCTCAGCTTTAAATATTTTTTAAAACTGAGATAGGATTTTTACACATATCTCGCGACCTTTTTATGCTGTCATTTTTTTCCCAAAATCTAACAATAAACCCGGAAATCGTTTCAAACATCTTTTAAAAAAGTACATAAAGAGAGTAAAATTAAAACGTTACATATGGTAGCAGGTTTATTTCACCTTTTTTCAATTACAAAGACGCAGATTGTCAAATTTGAATTAATTAATGCGGGCACAAGACGCCGTGTATTGTAACCTAACGTCAAAACTTGATTAAATTAGGTCACTAACTTTGACTATAGCCCACTTTGAATGTATCTTTTTATCATAAAAAATAAATTAACACTGTATAACTTAACAAACGTGAATATGTTTGAGTTATCGCGTACAAACGATATATTTAAAACTTATTTGTTTCGTATAATGAATGATTTAGAAAGTTATTTGTCAAGTAAAACAGTATAGGCAAGGAAAATTCCCGCCATTGATTGTACAGCAGTCAAGAAGAGCGGTGACCTAGTGGTAAGGTGTCCGTCTCGTAATCTATGGGTCGCAAGTTCGAGCCTTAATGGGGTCATAATCTTGTTTTTATTTAATACTGATTAGTTCCAGGAAGCGGACCCGAACTGGTTCAATTAAGCTCTAAAACAATCGAGTTTAAGTATGTTTGAACTACAGTCACATCACTAAGTAAATTTAAGAGAATTTTTTTATCGTATTTTGATTTTTCTTCAAATGTGTGAAGTGTGATTTTTTCCCCTACCCATTCTCTACTAATTTTCGCGTCGGTCAACATTTTAACAATTAATAGATAGACAGGAATTTTATTTCAATCAAATAATGCTTATAAGCCCATGATGACATAATAATATTATATTTACAAGATAATCAAATATGATTATCAAAATATAAAACAGAAATATACCACGTTAAAAATCTGTAAAATGATTAAAATTATACGTTTCAAAAAAATTTAGAAACATATTTAGCGCTGTTTTTCAGTTAAGGAACGCTTATATTACAGCAACTTTATCACTGCCGTAAAAACACAATCTGCGATGTTTCTAAATGCTTTAGGAACGCCATGTTAATGAGTTATGCATGAAACGGTGCTAGGGGGCATTTAAATTAAAAATAATATATTTTGGTATTTTAGCCCAAATTGAGTGAAAAACGCTTTTCAACTTTGAATAATTTTTCACAATTAGAAATTAGAATAATAATTCTGAAAAAACGGAAAGAGCGAAAGATCAGAAAGTTTGCACACAAGTTATTGGTCTAGGCCTACAAAAAAATTAATTATTTCAAGTCTCGTCATGTCAAAAAAAAAAAAAAAAAAAAAAAAAAAAAACTCAGTGGAGTCCCTTTAACAACATATTTTAATGAACTCGTGTCCCAGTATATCAGGTGTCCCATAATTAATTTTCAGTGCATCTCTTTTACATTTCATATTAATTGGTTGTATTAACCTTTTTTAAATGTCAAAATACCTTTAATTGTACTTCAAAATTAGGTCATATATGACACTGCAAATTTTAATGAATCTACTTCAGCATAGATGAATCTCCTTATTCAGGTCTACAAATACATTTAAAGAAATAATGGCATTTTCTAAAGAAAAAAATGATGATGACACTCACAAATCATTTCTTCATATTAAAGAATATAATTATAACGGTTTAGAACTGTTCACCATTTAGGGGAGAAGATGTGTAATCAGCCGCAAAGCTCAGTCGGAAGAACCGCGGAACGGTATTCCGAGGTTCCTGGGTTCGAGTCCCGTTCAGACTGCACATTTTTCTCACCCTGTGACAAATAGAAAATAAACTGATCGGTTTCCATTGTCCCAATTGTAATCTATACATTAAACAGTCGAGCGCATTGTAGCAGTATTTCAAAAAAGCATGTCAATACAATTTCAAATAAATTAAAGGTTTGAAAGACATTTTGAAGGTATAGATTTCAAAATAAATTGATGTGTAATGATGTATTATAAACGCCATTTTGTAATTATACGCCAGAAGACAAAACGACTCTTACTTTCTTTAAACATTCTTACTTTCTTTAAACATAGACACGTTTTTCTCCAATAAATCTCGCATGTAAATTAGTACTAAAAATAATCAGTCATATGCTTTTATTTCCGGAGTAAGGTGACTGATAGTGCAATGTATCGAACTAATTTTGTTCATGACTGACTGTGAAGCATACATATGTATGAATACAAAGATCAACAAAGACGAACTACTTTCACGGAACGCAGCCTGTAACCTTATTCACCTTATTCAGTGCAACCTTCGTAGTGCGGCCTTCTGTAAAGCAATATCTCCGCCACATTCAATTTTTCCCAGTGTAAAACATTACAATACATTTAACCTCTCGTGAGCGACCCCTCTTAGCAGCGACCGTAATCTTTGCCTCTGAAAGGCTTTTGCTCTGCAGAGTCTGTGTTATGCAAAGCAGACAGCGTAACTATGCTAAATCTATAACTTTAAAAATTAATACTTTTAACAGGTGTCATAACGCAATAACCTCCATATATAACTTTTCCCTGTCATTTCATAACCGTGAATATATAATCGGCATTTTTATGCTTTGTTCGTTGTTAAAATGTATAAAAATTATTAACCTCTTCCCTGTGTTTATGACGGGCATCAATCGCTTTTATCACATAGTATGACACTCCTGAGACTAAATCCGCAATTTCAAATGAGACGTGTGAAGTTTAGCTATTTTATATACAAATGTACATTGTATATGGTGAAATTTATGAATTTGTTTGTTTCCCCATTCCATAACTTGTTGCATAAACTGTTTAAAAAATGCAGTTACATTGATTGAATAATGAAGAAATAAGATTCGATTTTAGAAAATAAGACATGTAAAGTTTAGCTATTTTATGTATGTGTGAATTATGAATTTGCTTTTCTTCTCTTCTTAACTTGGTGCATTGAGAGTTTAACAAATTCATTTAATAATAATACATGTATATTGATTCGATCATGAACGTTCGATTTCAGATAACTTGGAAGTTCAGAAACAGTTTTCAACTTCAAGATACAAGGTCGTCAAGAAACGTTAGCTGAGAAAAAACAACAACACATTTTTATCTCATTTACTAGTATTTGGCACGAGTAAACAGTTTAATGTTTTATACATTTTCAGGCAAGTCAACGAAACAGCGCACAATCTCGGCCACGCCTTCTAGTTATAAGACCACCCGAAGGAAGCGGACAGCCCAACAGAATTGTTCTCCTTGCCAACCAAAGACCGCCGCCTCAGCCAACGAATGCCTCGCCTTCTATCTCAACCGCTTTATCCGTCCTCCAAGAAACTGCGGCAGTTGCACAAGCCAATCTGAACAGAGCTTTCGGTAAATTGATTATAATTCAAAATCTGATCTTTGTATTTTTGTTTTTGACATAAATATGCTTATTCCAATAGGGAGAACTCCTGGGGTCTTCGTGACAACGATCTCTGACATTGGGTCTAATGGTCAATCGTAAAAGTTTCTTACAGCTGATTCAGAAATCATTTGGAATTAAAAGTCGATCACTTGCGGAGAAATGGGAAATTACTGGTTAGTTATCCAGCAAAATGTTTAAGATGGAGGAACCGCTGAGATATGACGAAAACATTTGTTAATATTGGTGTAAATAAAAAAACCCCACAACAACAAACAAACATGCATACGCGTTGATTCCTTGAGCAAGAAAATTTTACAATCATTGCTTAGTACTGGCTGGTTTCAGGAGGGGATTCGAGTGTGTTTCAATAAGCTTACAGCTTCTATCGCAATCAAACTAAAATAAATTTGTATAAACTACAAGTTTGTCAGCAAAAAAATTTATAATGAGAGTACGCTTATTGTAAAAGTTATGAAACGGTTTATTCACTTAAAATGAACTACACGTATTCATTTAATACAGGTGGTCATCCCCAATCAGCGTTTCGTCAGCAGTCCAGTTCGTCCGGTAGCAGCAGTAGTTCTTCTTCAAGCAGTTCTAGCGGAACAAGAAGTCTTAGAAACCTTCTACAGGGCATGCGCAGATCAGGTCCTGCTACGTCATCAAATATTGCTCGCGTGTCTGATACTATACCACGAGCAATGCCTCCAGCACTTCCGCCGACAAAAAGGTAAAGAACTTTACTTTTAAAAAGGGTACTCTTTTATAAGTGTACTTACCTATTTTTATATGAAAAATAATGAAAACAATAAATAAATGATAAAAATAATGATAAAACAACATCGACATTTAAGTAACACCATAGTTGAACCATTGCCATTATAACAAATATGAATTGAATATGAGGTAAATGTACCGTATTCTATTTTGCATAAGTTAATACATATAACCTGGTGTTTTCTTCTCCTCAGATTTGGTGAACTAAATATACCAAGTGTGATAGAAGCCGCTCTTAGACGCCTCCAAGAGCGGGCAAGACTTCAAGGAAATGTGCGGGACAATAACGTTCTTCCAAGACACGATTTTAGAATGACCCCATCACCTAGTGCACCTAGCACGCCTGATCGTTCTCCATTCAGTGGCGGTGTTATTGATCTCTCCAGGCTGTCACTCAATGAACGAAACAATCGGAACGAGGCAACAACTAGTGGCAACTCTGGGAGCAGATCTAATTCGAAATACTCCAAGATGGGACATTGGAACGTTATTGTCCTCGAGTACATTAGGTAGAAATGGTGTATCTCCACGGGAGAAAAATCAATTGAATAGGAATTCGAACGGAGTTAGACAGACTCAGAATGGAAATGGACCGTTTGTGAAAAACAACGACCTGCTTCAAATGCCATCTTCCGCAGGTCGAACAGGTTCAAATCTCAGAACATTTCAAGACAAAACATTAGATAAAACTGCTGTACAAACTAACGCTGATCAACCAAATTTGGATATTCAGACTTTAATGGCAGACCCCTGGACGCCACAGACTTCATTAACTTCGGCACAAAACAATAATGTGTCACCCGGACAGAGCTCAACATTTGATTCACAAGGAAGTAATAGCGTTTCAAACAATGTGGAACAAAATTTACCCCAATATCCAGGCCAATTTCCACCGAGAAACTTTGATGTTCCGATTCCAGCACCATCCAGAATCAATGATTTCCAAGCAATTCCTAGACCTCCTCCGGTTAATACAACCCAACAATTTAATCCTCAGCCAAAGAACACAACAGTTCCAGCTGCTGCAGCGGCTGTCAGCTTGAATGCCACAGCAAAAGTGTCAGCGTCTTCTGCTGAAGCCAACAGCACATCGAATCAAACAAGCACAAAATCTGTCAAAACAAAAACCATCAAGGTGACAACCGTCGTAAAGAGCAGTCCAAAGGCTGACGTAAATGCGGCTGCCGCAAATCAAGCAGGAGCAAATATTGCAAATGCTGTCGCGAAAGGAAAGCCAATGACAAACCGTGCTAAAGCTTCGGCTGGAGCAAGTGGAAAGAAAAGATACCCAAGTACTAACCCAGACGCAGGCTCAATTACTGTAAGACGTCAACCAAATGGTGATTCGATCATAACGTTATCAGATGGATACGGTGAACCAGTTGTTTTACGAGCCTCTGGACCGGTCAGAATTGAACGCATAGTTAAACCAAACGGTCGAATTCAATTTTTAATTAACCCAGTACAAACAAAGCAAACCACAGCAAACCCTTTATTAGACGGTGAAATTGAACCCGAAGATATTACAACAACCGAGTCACCAACTCAATCTAATATTGGAATATCTGGATTTACAGATGCCATTTGGACAACAAATGCTCCATTTTATACAGATCCTATTATGAACAAAGATTCTGCGGCTAGCCCAGTGTCAATCAATGTTCCCGCAAATTCACCTGAACCCGGCACAACTAAAATAGAGAAAACAATTCAGATAAAAGAAACAGCTGTAGCAGATACAGCCTCTGCGTCTGTTAATACCTCTGTGAAGAATGAAACAGCAAATGCCAGTGTAAAGGCAGATGGCTTAATGAAATTGTTCAAACCTCCGAATATTCCTCGCCCTCCAAAAGTCTCTGATATGAATGTAGGAAATGCTGGTTTGTTAAATCAATTTATAGCTAACACTCAAAAGTATATGTCAAACCAACAGACTAAAACAATTCCAATACAGTCGGATTTATCACTTAAGTCCAAGAAATTCGCTTCAACTACTTACAGGCCTGCAATACTATCTGATAGACGTATACAATCTTTGAATATATTTCAAAAATCAGCCAATGGAAGTCCAGCTAAGAATCTAAATTCTGACGTTATGCCTCAATATAATCTACTCGGGGTGTCTCCGCCTTCGTTAACATTTGTACCACAGGGTCAGCGAATACCTTGAAACTATTCAGGTTAAAATGTTAACACGTTATCTTGCAATTTAGTGTGGTGATACAGCAGTGCAAGAAATGCTGCCCCATCTTCACACTTTAAATGTATACGTTTGTTTAAGGCGATGGACAATGCCTTAAAAGATTTATAAAACAGTATTAAACGAAAGACGGCGGCATGTTTTATATCACTGCAAGAATGGTCGAAAACTTGCATGTTTAAACAGGACCAATAAGTGGATATTTACCAAACGTTTGGAAAGCTGCATTGTTTACACATTATTCATAAGTGAAATATTGCTTTCGGAGGACGTTCATATTTCCTGACAGTTTTAAGTCTAAAGCGTTGACTAATATGTCTAGACAGTTTTGGATAGTTTTGGACAGTTTTCGTTAGTCCCAGATCATCATTTAGATGCTTTCGCTTTCTTTTCGTGCTTGTATAAAGGAGCCTGAGCAATGCTAGCTTGTGCTCGCCCGGCTTGTGAATGCTGAAACATTACACAAAGGGTGGATCTGGCCATCTTGTTGACAGGGTCATAGAATATGGAGGGGAATTTTCAAAACTAAGTGAAAAAAGAAAAAAACAAAATAGGTATAAATGTAGGACATGTATTTGTTTAGTTAGTATATAGAACAGGCATTTCGAATTATTATGATTTCGATTTGTTGAGATCTTTAACTATATCTCTTGAATTTTGCAGTAGTAACTTATTACCTGAATAGGTGTAATTAATTTCAATATTATCATAGGAAAATAAAATTGTTTTGTTAAATGTAGGACAAAATAAGTTTTATTCTTTGTGGAAAGTTTTCACGTTTAAAACTTTTTCCAATTTCTTTTGACACTGAATTATGGCGCAACAATTTCTTCGCAAATGTATACACGTCATATTTAACGGACGTTTTTATCTATAATAATTATACATGTACATTTGTATGACTGATGAAATTATGCGTGAGATAACTAATTGCTTGTCACACCTTTTTAAAAAGTAATGAACAAATTAATATGATGTATTGAATTAAACTAAGGCCTGATCAACTTTAGATAGCAAAATATTTAAATATAATTCATCAAACTGAATATGTTTCGTATGTTATCTTTTCATTTTAAAATTTCAATCTAGTTTTAAGCTGCTTCTTTCATTTTTGATTTAAGATAGTGTTTTCCAGTTTTTTTTGGCGTTTTTGTACTCACACTCTTCCAAGAAAAGTTTATAATTTTCCCCGAAATTCATCATTATTTTCTTTGAATGAAATGAAATATATTGTTTGTTTTATTTATAACTCTATCTCTTTTTCTTCCAAAAAGTCTTCGTCATTTGTCGAGTTGTCATTTTGAAAGATATTTACATTGTATATTACATTTTACTTACATTTAAGGACAATACAAATGAAATATACATTTTCAAAAATTTTTAACAATGTGATAATTATAATATGTGTATACATGAATAGTTTCGCGACGTTTTATTTAGTATGCGCGCGCAACATTAACACCGAGTGAATATATTCGTCTCCGATCAATCGTTTAATGTGATAAACTTGTCAATATATCTCACTGGCTTAGTAATACTGTCAATTTCAGGCGGACTAATTTATTAATGATTCTTTTTTTTAATATCCAAATAAGCATAATTTCTCCTCAACATCAATCATGGAAAGTCGAACAAAAGGTGGTAGTGAAAATCCGCTTACGCTAGTTATCTTTTGCAGCACATGTTGGTGCAAATTAATTATGAAAATCAAACAACTATGGCGCGGCTGACAAATGCCATTATGCAAATTTCCCGAAACGGCTCAAAATGCGAAATGGCACAAATCAGTTACTATTATTATAATATTCAATAATCATGGAATGTTGCGAAATTCATATTGGGAAGATTATGATTTTCACAATTTGATCAGTACATTCATTAAAATTGTTTATTAACTGCAAGAATTGCCCGCTTTTGCTATAATTATTAAGTTTGTCGTCACGTCACAAGAAGGCTATTCCTAAGAATGATTAATTGATGTTTTTATTTTGTCATTGTGGTTATGTTATTTTTTCATTGTTTATCTTCCAGTCATATTTATCATCCTTTGTTAATTGTGATATTAATATTATTGATGGTCCATTTTTGCATTTAAGAATAAAAAAACTGCTGTATAAAAATTATGTTCTTAATGCAAATTCGTTGGGATGCTTAACTCTTTCCTTACTTTTCGGCTTTAAGTGTTCAGAAAAAATTGTCGTTTATAAATTTCCCCATACGCTACTTTCCGTAGTTAATGTCAATCTCCTACGTAGTGATCTCCCCTTATCAGTACTTTCCAAGGGAGTTAACTACTGTGGAGGAGGTGAGTAAATGTAGGTAGGGAACCAGACTATAGCAAATGACGTAACGTTCCAACAACAACAACAACAAAAACGTTTATTCATGTCAGGCTCATATACAGAACAACATGACAGAAAATAGTTTTAAATATTGTACTGGTAATTAACATGGGAACAGTGATGAAAGATCTAAATGTGCTCATGTAAACACACCCGCCATGTTTAATTACCCATAAATTGTTCCGTTTTTTATATAAAATGGTAGAATACGTTTTTCTTCATTTTTTTTTTAGAATGACGTCACTACTAAGTAGTGATTTTTTAAAATATTTTTATATAGATTAATATAGTGATTTTATTTCACTTATTTTAGGGTCTATTATGAGTCTTATTGGCATATTTCAACTAAATTCGACTAAACATCTGTGTTATCTTCTAAGAAATGTATTCGACAGACTGTTATTTAGATAACATTTACAAGTTTTAAAAATATTACCATACCAAAAAAGTAAGCCGACTTTTTATTACACCTATAGTTATTCCATTAAAGTTTTTGTGTGTGTGTGGAGTTACTACTTTTTGGTAGTTTTTGTAGAATTACTCATTTTTTATAATTACACATTTTTAGTAGTTTTTGTGGGAATACTCCTTTTAGGTATTTTATGTAGCACTTCTCCTTTTTTGGTAATTATTGTTCCATAAATCGTTTTTGATCCTTTATGACAGATAATTCAATTTTGTTGGATTACTCCATTTTGGTCCTTTATGTTGAAATACTTCTTTTTGGTCTTTTTTGATGTCTATACATGTTGTGAACACTTGATGTGTGTCAATTAAATTGCTTTATCATTGTATAAACCGCATGTATACGTTTGTATGATCCATGACCTAATTAAGATGTATGTTATCTTGGTCACGTGATTTTTTGTTATTGTCAATCTTATGATTTATTGTCTATTTGTTTTACCTTAATTTTCAAATTGTTGAATAAATATTTTGTTAAAGCTAACTTGTTGGTGTTATTATTTTTTATTAGTTGACCGCAATATTTAAAGTGAATTGGTCTATAATGGAAGGTCTGTAATGCAATTAATAGTTACGTTGATAATTTTTAGTATCATACATAACAAGAAACCGCAAAAGAATTATATATGAATGTTGTTGGAAATAGTTAGATACATGATCCGATATTACATTTAATTTTATATATTAATACAGCAAATAATAAAATATTCTTGAACAAAATATTACTATTTATCATATAAATGTTCATAATGAATAACTTAGATCTTTTATCGCAATATTTTACAAGATTGTCCAAATTTCTATTGTTTTTTTATCAGTTTATAGAACCTTGAAATACTTTATGGAAAATATGTCCATTGCAGACCAATCTACTTTAAACCTTAACTATATATAGAAGGGACAGAATGTTTGATTACGTAATTATCAGGCAGTCTTATTAAGATGATACGCCCCTCTACAAGAAATGCGTTCGAACGCTAGAAATATACAATGTTAAAGAGTATGGCGTCATATAAGGCATATATGTGTTAACGCAGGGATCGTGGGTTTGAACCATGTAACGGGCCAGCTCCTAGAAAGCGGACACGATTGTGGTGTAAAATTTATAGTCAAGCTAAAATAAACACGTAAAATACTGCCATGACGTCATGCCCCTGCTTGGCCAATCTGATCAAGGTATTTCACATCAGTGACATAATCTGATAATCACATGATATAATCTAGTCAATAAAATAAAAAAGAATATCGAATAAATTTCCGATCTTGTAAATTAAAATATCGTATAAATCCATAAGATATCATTTGTATATGAAACACTTTAATCAAATTGACAGAACAGAGGGATCCATAAGAATTATTATTTGATTACCTTGATTAATATAAACCGTCTTGAATCCACCATGATCGTGATTCCTAAACGTAAATAGTCTCCATAATCCAGAAAGAAAATTTGAATGTTTTTCACTGCATATTTGGATAAGGTTTCTCCAAGTTAAACCACCGTTATTAATTAATTTTTATGCAAGTCAATTCACTATTTTCAAGAGTATTCAAGTTTTACTGTTAATCACTTTGTGTACATCACTGTGTATTTACCGTGGTAAAACTTGTTGTCTTTTTTCAAAACACGAAAAATCCATGCTCTGGATATCTTATTATTGAAGAGGCTACAAATGGGTATTTGTCAGAAAACTTTACTTTAAATTGCCGTATAAATTACAAATTGGCGTTGTTTAGCAAAATACATTTCAATTTCTTCAATACATAAACCCCTAAATTTTGAAAACAGTGATTTAAGTAAAATATTAGTCTCAAACTATCCAATATCACAGAGTTATATTTACACGGAGATGAAGCTATTATGTCATAATTTATTATCTAGCGAGTTCACACTTTTGCGATATTTTCCGAGACTATGTTTCACGATATTGTATTCCGCCCTGTTATCTAAAATCAAAAGAAATAACAAAAAAAGAAGTTGCAAAATGTTAAAAAGCAGTAAAGATTAAGGAGATCTAAGTTATTCCCAGTAATGGAGTAATGGATGAAACTGTAAACAAATTCGGTTATGTAAAACAAGATGGTGGAAAATGATCAATTTCAAGGGCCAGTAAATCTCGGGATTGTGAGTGAGGATGTGAAAATGTTCTATTTTTAGAGCTTCCAAATCCCAATAAAAGTCTCTGGCACTATATTCGCTCCAGTACTCCGCGCCCAATGAAATTTAATATTTAATATATTGGACAGTTTCGGCTTATATGATATATCTACTATTTAAACGTAACTATGTATTCAAAGCTGTTCCAATTTCAACATTTGTAAAAAACAACACCACCACCACCACCAACAACAACAACAACAAAATATCAATTTCTCATGATTTTATTGATATAATATTAGTAAATTTAACTATAAAACCTAAGCAAAATAATCCGATATTATATATAATAAGATTCAAACAAATAGATGTTTTAAATATTGTTACAGACACTGTACAAGTCCATAAAAACTTAAAAAATAATTAATTCTATTAAGACAATGAATTTTGGAATATAATCTATTCTAAGAAATAAAACTTAGCTCCTATTTTCCCATAAATATCGTGCCTTTGGAATAATATCGTCCCTTTGTGTTCTAAATACCATCCCTTAGTTTAATATCATCCTTTTTGGTTTGATATGGCTCCTTTTTTTAATATCACCTTAATTGGTTTAATATCTCTTCTTTAGCTTAATATCACCACTTCTGGTCAATAACACCTAAATCTAGATTCTTAAGTAACTAAGTTTAACAACCCTCCACCTGTCTAATATATTTATAGAAGATTTAATTTCGGACAAAATATTTCTTGTTTATGTAAAATTCTACTCACTACGAAAAAATATCGAAATGCGACTGATTGTTTTAAAGTTCAATGCTATACATACCAACTATCGTGTAAATTAATCTAAAATTCGGACAGTTAACTTCTTGATTATGCAAAATTATTTCTACTCACTAAAAACAATATTTGTTTACTCTATGTATTCATTTTAATTCTTAATATAAGACTCCTGTATAAAAATGTCTGTAAAACATTCGTAAATGTCCGTAATAACATTCGCAAATGTCCGTAACAACGTTCGTAAATGTCCGTAACAACATTCGTAAATGTCCGTAAAACATTCGTAAATGTCTGTCACAACGTCCGTAAATGTTTGTAACAACGTTCGTTAATGTTTGTAAAACATTTGTAAATGTCTGTAACAACAATTGTAAATGTTTGTAAGAACGTTCGTAATGTCTGTAATACATTTGTATGTGTATGTATTACATTAGTAAATGTATGTTAAACATTTGTTAAAGTCTGTCATAGCGTCCGTAAATGTTTGTAAAACATTTGTAAATGTCCGTAACAACATTTGGTAATGTCTGTAGAAACATTAAAAAAAACCCAAATCTCGGTAACAAGATTAGTAAATGTCTGTAAAACGTAACAACATTTGTAAATGTCTGTAACAACATTTTATTAAAAACTTAGGCTAAACACATTAAAACACAACAATTATCTAAAATATGTGCATCTAAATATCACGGAAAGTGGAATTTCTTTTAAGATTTTTAATGTACAACAAATGTTTTTACAGAAAATACTAGCAGAAACAAAGAAAGAAGTGAAATGAAATAAAAGAAATGAATGTGAAAATTATTGGTGTATACATACGCTTGACCAAATAATCTCTACATGATTGTTTCGTTTGATTACAAGTCAAACTGGTCACATATACTTTTCTAATGTTGAAACTTAAACCTTTGTTCCCAATTATTATAACAGGCATACTAAAAATTTCAAATTAGTTCGACTTAAATATTTGAACATTTTTTTTCTGAAAACATATTCTCCATTTGATGCAAAGTAAAGAAGCTGTCCGAACATACCGTCATTTGTTATCTAGCTCTTACCACCTAAAACTATTTAATGAACTTGTCCAGTTTTCAATCTGGACAAAACCATTTATAATTTATAGGGATTTTTTCCCCCAAAATATGTACTAAAGTTGACTAAATAGCGAACTTTGCAGACCATGATCAGCCGGTCCAAACAGTAATCCTGATAATTTTGGTCTGCACTGGTCGCATGGACAGAATTATTTGCCGTTGGCATAGAGAGGATGTAGCAGTTCAGTAAATTAATACATTTTATAGAAATTTATAATTATACCCATTTAGCGGAATCTTTATATTACTTTTGTTTTATTGCTTTATTCGATATCGGATCGTATTTTATCTAACAAAATAAGCCTGTTTTTGGAAACATTTGACAGTATTTTATAAATTGGCAGGTCTTTGGCACCGAAATAATTAAAACATTTTCATTATCCATATTACGTTCACTAGGCTAGATGAAATTTCAGTAAGCGTTGACCAAATTTTTGTCATACAAACAAAAGATATTTCTAAAGAAATATAGACGTTAAAGCATCAGCAAAAAAAATCACACACACGCACATGGGAAAACCCGGTTTAAGTGTGAAAAAATAGAGCAGTCCCACGAGGAAAATAATAAACAAAAAACAATTTTGGGAAGACATTACGGCTTTGTAGTGGAAGCTGTTTCCACGATGTCTTTATTAAAATGGCCTATCACTACCTAAAGCAGTTATATCGGTTTACACTATCTAGGCGTTTGATCTTACCGAATCCAATATGGGTAATAGTTACTTAAAAAAACGATTTCTATAAATAGATACATCAGTGGAATAAATACGTCATTAATTTATTCAGATATAATTATCGTGCTTTTCTTTTTAAATATCAGCATTTTTCGTGAATTAAAAACGTGATGCAAGCATGATGTTCTCTTTCACTATGAAATAAAAATACGCGCAGTCACAATGTTAGCAGACGACAAAAATCGACTTCACACAAACGCTTGAATTTTCAGAATGCTTAGATGCATTAACTTCGTCGACAAATATTTCGTAGCACTGGTATGTACAGTAAAAGGTAGGTAATGTTTACATGTAAATATAATCAGTGGATTTCCAAATCTCATATTCCTGAAGAACATGACATGGTCAAAGCGTAAAAAGCGTACGTAAAACGTACGTAAAAGAAGGTGCGGATTTCAAAAGTTGGTCGGTTTCTATCAAGGGACAATAAAAACAGTTTCCCTCATTTAGCCGCTACTCAAACAGCCTTTGCATTAACTCAGTCAAACGTTCAAAAGAAATGAACAATAAAAAATGAAATTTTAAAAAGCTAAATTGAAATATCATCTAAACAAACACAATAAAAATACATATATATATATAATAATAAATACATTCGTAAAACTATTTCAGACGTAACATGTACATATTTAAACATTTATTTCTTCCATATAGATCTAATTATATCACCATAACCATTTTAAACTTTCCAGTCACTTTTATTCTTACATATACGTGACACAAACCTGAAACGACTGGCTAAATAGTTCGTTCTTTTGTTATCTAAATCCAAAACTTCTAGACTTATCATTTGACGTCAATAATATACATATTAAAAACAACGTTTCATTTTATCGTCTGCCATTTATTCACAAAATCCTCGCGCCGGTTACGTCACTGAACCTTTCAAGGGAGGTAACCGCAGCGAGGACTTTGATATTTTCTCACACGGAAGCAGAACAAATATAATATATGCGAGCGTCTACTTGTCTTTCTAAGAGTGATTTATGTCCCTTTAATACAACAAATTGCTTAGCTAAATATGCATTAGTAAACTACATGTATAACAATAATCATAATTATAAAATTATTGCGCTACCATGAGAAGGGCTTGAAATTATAACTTGTTTATAATTGATTTAAAAAAATAGCGAAAACGAAAAAAACGAAACAAAAATCAAAAACAGAACGGTATGTAAGCGATATTTAGGGAAAAACAACACCCATACATTTAAACGTCAATCTATCACCGTTTTATCCAGATGGAAACATCCTTTGAAAAATTGTGTGTCGTTTTAGTGGACTCGTTTCCAAAGACATTTTTACAAAATGCGTACCCAAGTCACGTGCTTTAATGAAATTGGTTATCACACGTGTTTTATAACTGGTTACAAACTTAATGAATGATCAAGTATTCATTCTATAATTCATTGTGTACATATATACAGTTTTTTGTAGTAACAAAATCTGTTCCTATAGAAACAATAGCTTTAACATGATATGTCATACAACACATGTTCGGAATAACTATATTTACGTCATGATTACGTCATTTGACATCATAATTACGTCATTTACGTCATAATTACGTCATACACGTCAATAGATTTTCTCAATTTATCCTGGTTTAAGAGTGAAAGGTTTCTTTTTTGCAATTCTGGTTCGGAAATACTTGCAACATATAATTATGCAAAACAATGTTAGCAAAATAAAATAACGGAATGTAAATGATATGTAAAATATAACTTACACCCATCCAAAAAATTACGTCCCGAAGTAATAATTTTGTTTTTGTCATTAAACGATTTGATATATTACGAAGTCTTTGTCACTATTTAAACAAAATAACTAGTACATTGCCGGACTATTTTCCAAGGCGGATGAAAACTGATCTAGCTAGCATTTCTAATAAATATGTACTTACGTTTGTAACTTCTAGAGAAAATAAAATTTGCACTAACTATGTAACTGACCACAGACTGTGTCACTAAATAAACGTCTTTAAAACTAATTTAAACATATCCTTAGTAAGAAATGGTGTGATAAAAAGTATCAGAATGTGATTGTACAAAAGTCACAAAACATAACCCAGTTGCTGAATCTTTATATGTTATAACAAAAACATATTGTCAAATACTGTCACGTCACGCCCTAGTTCACACATCACTCTAGACAAGACGTTGATATCATGCACGGGTTTCCCGTGCAATAGCCGCTTCAGCAGAATGGCGCAATCTTCGTATCTCCGATCCCAGTTCGCTCGCCATTTAACCAGTATGTTGTTACGGACCCTTTACCCTGCACAAAAAAAATAATTAATTAACTGTGGGTTAAAGAGTACTGACATGAAAATTGGTAATTATCGACTAATTTCAGCTAATATTGTTATAAACCGCAACAGTTTTCGTAAAAATCTATTTTTAGTATATATATCACGTGAGAGAGTGTTTTCCGCTGCGACGTCATTATTTGAGAAAAATACCAAAATGGCCGTTAATTAGAGTCTATTTTCCTAAAAAAAAAATTATAATGAATAATTCTATGAATGACATCATATTGTATGAAGTATTAAATTATGAGGTAGTGCTGATTAAACGAATTAATTTATCAAAGAATTTGAAAACTCGAACGATTTCATGTTTCAACATCTAATAAACAAAGTACGGCACTTTTTTCAAAAAGAAGAAGACACAAACGAGTGTTATGTTTAGTTTCAATTTACAGACAAAATAATTATGTAGACAGGAAGAACATAGAAGCACACAAACCTTCATTTCGACGGCACCTCTCAGCTCTAGATCAAAGGATCCAAATTGATCTAGAATGTCTTTAGTGTAAGGACTAACGTGAATCTTAAGGGCTGTAAACATAAAACATTTGGTATGAAACGTTTTGTTTGTTTTGTTTGGTTCACGGCCTTACCTTGTTTTGTTTGGCTTACAGCCATACCCACACTGTAAAAGTCACATGGCGACATTCCAGCTCTACCGTCGCCAGCTCTAGCGGTGGAGGTAAACCTTCGTGCAAAATTTAAGCAATGCGCAATGAGGCAAAACTTTTATCAGCCTGATTTTACTTGTTACAATAATGTTCTGATTGGTTTTGACTACAGGTGTGTTGAGCTCCTATTTTCAGCTTTAATAATACAAGTAATTAAGCTTCTCACATTCAAATAACTTGTCTTATTATTGTAAAGAATTGTTTTCTCTATCTTATTCTAAATCAATGAAAAAAATCAAAAGAAAGAGACTTACGTAAACCATTTGATTCCATTCTCGATGCCGTGTTTACAGTATCACCAAACAAGCAATATCTCGGCATTTTCAACCCGACCACACCGGCACATACCGAACCTGTGAACGATAAAACATTCATAAAATTCCCCATTTTTCGGAATACTTACATATGACTTTGTAAGATTTTTTCCCATAAGACCAGATAGTACAGACATTTACATACTATGAATGGCTACAACAATATAATAATTTGTAATTAACATTTAGTATTTATATTTTATACAAAAGTATTATTAAATAAATACATTGTATTTATAAGCAATGTTTTATAAACCAGCATTCGATAGGAAGCTAGTGACATATATAGAAATAAGTTACATTATACTGTTGGTTTTAATTGGATAAAATATTCATACTGTATCTATAAATAACTTACCGTCTTTATTTTAATTGGACAGACAAATTGTGACATATCCATGAATAACTTACCGTCTTTGTTTTAATCGGACATGTTGTGAGGAATCTATAAATAACTGACCAGTATGAATGTCTGGCCTGAATTTAAATTAGGAAGACAGTCAAATATCTCTAAATAACTTACCAGTGTGAATTCCTATTCTTAATTTTAATTGGATAGAAGGCTTGTGACGTATTTTGAAAGACAGAACAGCGTTCAATAACGCTATGGACATTCTAGCTATTTCACGTGCATGCATGGACCCGTTTCTAATTGGTAAGCCGGAGACCACCATGTACGCATCGCCTATAGTCTCAACCTGAAATACGGGGCATGAATAATTAAATATGACAATTCCTTGACTTACAAACTTGAAAATGAAGACTCCACTAGGAGAATAATTAATTTTTGAAAAGGCGGTATTTAGACTGTGTTTTTATATGAATTGAATCTTGTTTTAAAAATTTTTGTTTGTTTGTTTGGATTTTTACGGCACGTCAACACATAACTGGCCATATCGTGCCGTGTCGGACCGTATTTGGTACAAAAACGAATATGGTACAAATGTACCATATTCGGTCGAATATGGTACAAATGTACCATATTCGGACCGAATATGGTACAATTTTCGACCGAATATGGTACAAACATTGTACCATATTCGGTTGGAATAAGTTTTTCTATGCTCGCCAAAACGTATTTGGTACATACCAAAAAAACTCATAAAATGAAAATGGCCTACGTATATGGTACATAAATTATGTATTTCTTAATAAATGAAATAGTCTGCCGATGTGTAAACTTTTTTTCAAACTCAAATACATTGTATTAACCTAATATTGGAAGTGACAAAAGTATCATCATCATCATCATCATCATCACGTCGTCGTCGTCGTCGTCGTCGTCGTCATCGTAACTAGCAGTAACAGAAACAGCTAACCTAACCACACTTTACATGGATTTTGCTGGTTGTGTAACTGTTTCGCCGGCTAGCTCAGTCGGTTGCGCGTCAGATTGGCACGCAGGCGGCCTGGGTTCGATTCCCGGGCGGGCCAGATACTTTCGTGGAGATTGGTCACGAAATGATTTCTACGGCCATTCTTCCCCTACCGCTGTTTCAAGTAGGGCAGTTGTCAATTAAACAGATATTTCTATGAAACTTTTGTCTATGATGAAACATTTGATGAATACGTTAAGAATATGTCTAAGAATGGGACATACGGCGACAACCTCACGCTCATTGCACTTATGAGAGAATATAATTTGCAGTGCCTGGTAGTTTCTACCCGAGGACTAGAACACTCATCAATTGTGTCAGCAGATGGAAAGTTCGATGGTGATGTTGGAACAATTGCATTGGGGTATTTCCCAGAAGGATTTGGCATGCATTACGTTAGTATCCGTATCAATCAACGCGTGTACAAGGACATAATATCACGCTTAGAACAGTCGTATGACAACGGTGACTCTGGCGACAGCGCTGCGTCTGGCGACAACGCTGCGTCTGGCGACAACGCTGCGTCTGGCGACAACGGTGACTCTGGCGACAACGGTGACTCCGGCGACACCGCTGCGTCTGGCGACAACACTGCATCTGGCGACAACGATGACTCTGGCGACAACGCTGCGTCTGGCGACAACGGTGACTCTTGCGACAACGGTGACTCCGGCGACAACGGTGACTCTGGCGACAACGGTCACTCCGGCGACAACGGTGACTCCGGCGACAACGGTGACTCCGGCGACAACGGTGACTCTGGCGACAACGGTGACTCCGGCGACAACGGTGACTCCGGCGGCAACGGTGACTCCGGCGACAACGGTGACTCTGGCGACAACGGTGACTCGGCGACAACGGTGACTCTGGCGACAACGGTGACGTCTCTGTGTGTTCAGCCCTGAAAGAGCTTCAAGATATGATAAACAATAGGAGGGCACAGAGGCGAACGACTTTTCCATTTCTGATGTTACCACTTCACATTCAAGTTGAAATTTTTAAGTTCTGCACACAATCAAACCCGTCAATCCAGTTTGTGTTGGCGAAGGTCGGCAAACCCTTTAGAGATTTAATAAGGTCAATGAGTTTGCAAACACCTAGAATTTACATTCGGCCGGATATTGGACTAGATACTAGTAACAGAAATCCTGTCAGCGTTCGTTTCCTATTAACAAGAGCGGGCAGAAACAGCGGTCTTATTTCGGCAATAAAAGAAATCATCAAGGGGGCCAAAATGGGCAAACGCATGGCTGCGTTTGCGTGTTTAGTGGAATCGGTTGGTATGATATCATAGTTGTCATGTACAGACATTACAGGTGAAATATACATGTATATCGGTGTTTGGAAACCTGTTATGTTATTTTTTGTGATTGATGATTATGTTCTTCTACCGGAAATTTGTTGTCATTTGCTCATTTAATGGTAACTTTTTACGAAGCACATTTGGGGATATTTTGGCTGCTACTAAATGAATGTATATATGTATATTTATGTCTGGTCAAAATGCTACAGTTGGATTAAAATTTAAATGCTGTTTCTATGTTCTTCAATATTACTTTGAAAAATCCTGTCAGTATACCAATAAATGAAAAAAGTACAAGTTTGTTGAATCTCTTGAATGAAACAAATTATAAAATACAAAATGTAAAATGAATATGTGATGATGATGATGACAAAACATTTGTGATGATGATGATGGTAAAAAAATTGTGATGATGATGGTGGTGGTGATGATGATGACAGTGGTTATGATGATTGGGGTTTGATGATTGTGATGATGATAACTGCGATGTTTATCGGCCGATGATAATGATTATAATGATGATGATGAAAAAAGTTTTTTATTATGTTGACGCCAATGATTACCGGCCGCCGATGATGATGATTATGATGATGATGATGATGCTGCTGATGATGATGATGATGATGATGATGATGACGATGATGATTATTTTCATGATGGTATTGATGACGTTGATGCAAATTGTAGTTATGATGATGATGATGATGATGATGATGATGATGATGATGACGATGACGATGATGATGGTGATGATGATGATGATGATGATGATGATGATGAGATGACGATGATGATTATTTTCATGATGGTATTGATGACGTTGATGCAAATTGTAGTTATGATGATGATGATGATGATGATGATGATGATGGTGATGATGATGATGATGATGATGATGATGATGATGATGGTGATGATGATGAGATAACGATGATGATGATGATGACGATGATGAGTGTGTACCATATTCGGAACGAATGTGGTACATTTTTCATCCGAATATGGTACAAGTTTGTACCATATTTGGTCAGGCATTTTACCCCAAAACTGCAGATACGTATATGGTACAATTAGACAGTTGTACCATATTCGGCCGAATATGGTACAAATTTGTACCATATTCGTTTTTGTACCAAATACGGTCCGACAGTGCCGAATGCTATAATAGGCTTAAAATATTATGTAAAACATTGTAAATGACAATAGAAATGAGCCAATTAGATCCTAGAATACAAGTTTATCTCTTTTAAATAATCAATTATGTTTTTTGATGGAATTGTATTAAAAAGTTCTTTGAGTGAATATACAGAATAAAATCTATTACGGGCCTGTGAAAAATCATGACATTCAAGAAGAAAATGCTTGACAGTAAAATTTTCATTACAACCTACACAGAAAGGGGCATTGTCATTTGTGAGGAGATAAGAGTGGGTAATTTTAGTGTGTCCAATTCGGCATCGAAGAAGAACTGTTTGATCACGGCGGTTTGACAGAGATAGAGATGGTGACATATCAAGAGACGGGTTTATATCGTGAAGTTTATTAAAAACGGCATTGTCCCAATTTGCTTTCCATTCAGATGATACGAGTTTATTTATAGCCGGTCTAAAATCACAAGCAGGTAACAATAAGTCAGTTTTTTGAAAATTTAATGATTGTTTAGCTAAAGCATCTACTTTTTCATTTCCTCGTATTCCTACATGGCTTGGAATCCAATATAATTTAACATATTTTGTTTTAGTATATCATGAAATCGCAAAAGAAGTTTCTTTACCATGATATTGTCAGATTTTTTTATTTTTAATGGATATTAAAACAGAAAGCGAGTCAGAAAATATCACAAATTTATCGTGGGTATGCTGTGCTATGTATGACAATGCTAAATCGATAGCTTTTGCTTCAGCAGTAAAAATTGATGCATTATCTGGTAACCTCATACTAGATGTAAAATTATTTTCAAACACAGCCGCACCTACTTTGCAACCTTCTTTTGAACCGTCCGTATAAATATGTATAAAATCTTCATGTTCTTCCTTAATTGCTAGAAACTTCTCTTTGAAATATTCAGGTGAATTTGATGCCTTTTTTATATTTGAAAGGTTAATATTTATTTCCGGGGAATTATAAGTCCAAGGTGGAACATCCTCATCGTCATTTTGAAGGATACTGTCTGGATTAATTTTAAGTTTATCTAAATCATCTTTTAAACGAAGGCCTAATGGTTTAATTTCCTTTGGTTTTGCTAACAAATTTTTCAGTATAACTTGGTTTGAAAATAATATTTTTAGCTGGATTTTTCCTATTAGATGAAATTCTAGTTGCATATTGAAGTGATAGTTTTTTTACGACGAAGATAAAGCGATGGTTTCCCCAGCTTCCGCATATAGACTTTCTACAGGTGAAGTGCGAAAAGCACCTAAAGCTAAACGTAAAACCCTGGTGATGTATGGTATCTAGCATTTGAAGATATGATTTTCTTGCGGACCCATATACTACAGAACCATAATCTAATTTTGATCGGATAAGACTTCTGTATAATTTCAGTAATATGGAAGAATTTGATCCCCAATTTGTACTTGATAAAACCTTAAGTAAATTTAAAGCTTTTAGGCATTTAGTTTTCAAATGTTTAATATGTGGTATAAAAGAAAGTTTTTTATCAAATATAATTCCTAGAAACTTAGCTTTATCAACTACTGGAATTTTAGAACCAGATATGTAAAGTTCAGGGTCATTATGTTGCTTTCGCAATCGGCAGAAATGAACACATTGAGTTTTTGACTTTGAAAATTTAAACCCATTTTCTATTGCCCACTTCTGAATTATATCTAAATTTTGTTGAAGTTGCCGTTCAATTGTTCTCATACTTTTCGATCGATAGCAGATAAGAAAATCGTCTACATATAGAGAACTATGGAACGCTGTGACTGTCTTATGCTATCAATGTTTTTGCTATCTTGTGAAATGATGATATTATTTTGTCATTTAAGCATATAAACATGTGTAATTTACATCATATCTTGTCTAAAGACAATGCTGACTTGTTCAAACAGCATGTTAACTTGTCAAATAATCATTATGACATGTGCAGACAACATGTTAACTTTTCAAAGTATCATGATGACTTGTGCAAACGACATGTTAACTTGTCAAAGTATCATGATGACTTGTGCAAACGACATGTTAACTTGTCAAAATATCATAATGACTTGTACAAACGACATGTTAACTTGTCAAGATTTCATGATGACATGTGCAAACAGCATGTTAACTTGTCGAATTATCGTGATGACATGCTCATAATACCTTAACAAGTTAACATGTGTTTTGCACAAGTCATCACGATTCTTTGACAAATTACCATGTTGTCTGCACAAGTCATCATGATACATTGACAAATTAACATGGCATTTGCACAAGTCATCATGATACATTGACAAGTTAGAATGTAGTTTGCACAAGTCATCACGATACCTTGACAAGTTAACATGCTGTTCGCACATGTCATCGTGAAATTTTGACAAGTTAACATGTTGCTTTCACAAGTCATCATGATACTTGGACAAGTTAGCATGTTGTTTGCAAATGTTATCACGATGATCTGACATGTTAACATACTGTTTGCACATGTCATCATGAAATTTTGACAAGTTAGCATGGCATTTGCACAAGTCATCATTATACTTGGACAAAGTTAACATGTCGTTTGCACAAGTCATCATGATACTTTGACAAGTTAACATGCTGTATGCACATGTCATAACGATAATTCGACAAGTTAACATGCTGTTTACACACATGTCATCATTGAATTTTGACATGTTAGCATGGTATTTGCACAAGTCAGCATGATACTTTGACAAGTTAACAGTGCGTTTTGACATGTCAGCATGATACAAGATGACATGTCATTTGCACAAGTCATCACGATTCTTTGACAAGTTCACATGTTGTCTTCACAAGTCATTATGGTTATTTGACATGTTAACATGCTGTTTGCACAAGTCATCATTATACTTTGACAAGTTAACATGCTGTTTGCACATGTCATCACGATATTTCGACAAGTTAACATGTCCTATTCACAAGTCATCATTATACTTTGACAAGTTAACATAGCGTTTGCACAAGTCATCATGACATATTGACATGTTAACATGCTGTTTGCACATGTCATCACAATAATTTGACAAGTTCACATGACGTTTGCACAAGTCATCATTACATTTTGACAAGTTACAATGTCATTTGCACAAGTCATTGTTATACTTTGACAAGTTAACATGTTGTTTGCACAAGTCATAACGATACTTTGACAAGATCGCATGTTGTCTGCACATGTCATCATAATAGTTTGACAAGTTAACATGCTGTTTGCACAAGTCAGCATGTTCATTTGACAAGACATGATGTAAATTGCACATGTTAACATGCTCAAACGACAAAACAATATCATCGTTTCACAAGATAACAAAAACATTGATTACATAAGACAGTCACGGCGTTCCATAGAGAACAATCTATGCCTGGTGTAAGAGCGCTAGCAATATTGTTTATTTTAAGGCCAAAAAGTGTAACAGAAAGTATGCTTCCTTGAGTAACTACACATTTAAAATTTAAAACTGTATAACGTTGGCAAATAAAAACAAAAGGTCGTACATGTAAATGATATGACATAAAGAAAGAGTTACAACTGTTTCACACCAAAAACTAAAATTGGTTTTTTTACGGCCATTAGACATTATTGATATATTAAGATAAATGTGGAATTGTATCATTCAAATGTTTTCAGAGAAAAAAAAATCGTAAATATGGCTACTAAAATTATTTGACTGAAACATTGTAATTTCATGTCAAACATTAATTTATATTCCTTTAACTATTCAAAATATTTTTTTTGATATCCATGGGATTTTTTTAATGAATGAACTTACCTTATATACATCAAAGTTTTCAATAATGGAATCAAAAGTTGTGTAGAGATCGTTCAATAAATCTATAACCTGTGAATGAAAACAAGAATACATAGTAAGTTATAGTTTTTAAGAACATATTAAGTAAATCAAACTCTTTAATGGAAGGAATTTTTCATTGGCTGCAATATCCTACCGCTACAATAATAGCACATACTATGTAGTGCATGTCTGAATAAGGCACAAGAAAAACAGGTGAAAGCTGTACTGTGTAAAATTTCTTCATGACTAAGTGCAGTAATTTCTAACTACACTCGGCTTAATTTTGATGTTGCGACAGACTTAAAAATGCAATGATCAAGTCTGACCACGAGTTATAGACCAAAAAAATAATAATCTGTGTATTATCAAGTAGTGCGCGGCATTAAACATAAAGAGTAAGCGTGCCATAGGACACAGATGCTCCACATTTCACTATATTGCCAATCTACGGACGAAAAGCATAACGACGGGAAGGGAAATATCAAATTTAAATGCCCCAAAGTAGTGCGGGGCATAAAATGTATAATTCACATATGGAGTACACGTACCTGCATTGGCGTACTTTCTGATGACAAGGCCGTAAAGCCACATATATCACTGAAGTAAATGGTTACGGAATCAAACGTCTCCGGCATAACAGTCTCTCCACGAATCAGTTGACCAGCAACTTGTCTAAGGAAAAAAATATTTGTTATTATACTTATTGCTTATAGATATACTTATTATTATAATTGTAATTATATTCTTATTATTTATAGACATACTTATAAATATACTTCTTGCATGCAAGTTTACTTATAGATACATGTTAATTGTACTTATTAATATAATTATTGCTTTTAGGTATACTTATAAATATACTTACTGCATATAGATATACTTATAAATATATCTTATACATATACACCTATAGATGTACTTATTGCTTATAGATATACTTATAAATGTACTAATTTCTAATACGTATACACATATACATATTACTTATAGATATACTTATTGCATATAAGTATAATAACTACTTGTCGAAGGGAGAAATAAAATGTATACTTATAAAATATACTTATTGCTTATAAATATAATTATTAAAAAAATAAATGCTACTTTTATATATACTTGTCACTTATGATATAGTAATAAATATACTTATTGTTAGTAAAGTAACTAGTAGTATAAATGATCAAATGTTTACATTTTATAACTTTGTATCAATTACTTAACAGACACTTTTTATATGAATTCCTATAACGAAAATAAAACACCAATTTCAACTTAGGTCTGCAAAAATTTAGGACATTAAATTAACAATGTACTGAAGCGTTTGAACTTTTGTCCGTAAATTAGTGTTGGGCTCAAATTCGATAAAATATCTAGAACACGCCATTCGGATGTTGACATGCAATATGTTGTCATAATTGATGTTGCACCCAGTGCATGATGATAATTATTTGTCTTCAGTAAAACACACGAAATACAAACAAAGGCGGTTATATAAAACAAATAGTATTATCATTTTAATGAAAGAATGTTGCCCGGATGTTAACCGAACACTATAAATTTTCGTATTTTACTTTGAACATGAGCCTCATTGTCTACTCATTGTGTATTCTAATCAAACAAGTTTATTTTTCTACACCGAGTATAAGGACACTCTTTCCTGCGGCAGATTTTTGTTCAAGAATTTAACAATGAAATATCTTAATTTTGACAATGGACAATGCTAAATTTATTATAATTCATTATATCAATAAGCAAGTACCGAGTGTTGTCAATGACGAAAAATACAAACAACAACACAACGTTAAAGGGTATAAAGCTATATCTTATAAACATTTTTGATAAAACTTGACAACAGTATAACTGTACGGTATTGTCTCCATAATCTTAAGGTCGATTGTAACATAAAATGTAACTGTTATTTATATATGAATGTTGTACGGAAACAGAATAATTTAATTCGCAATAAAATATTATGCTGCTATTTAAAGTAGCGTTTAACCGTTCAATGTGTGCGTTCCATGCGAGCGCCATTCGTGCGTCATTCGCTTTAAAGATTCTGTATGTTGTAATTAAGGTTGTATACCACGCTTAAGTGAAATTATATATGTGTATATAATTATGCTTATAAAACAATTTTCAAACATCGAAGAATATGTAAAATGTTACTGCAAATATTCGTATATATTATATGTAATCATTAAAATATATGCATTCATTTCTTATTGAAAAATTTGACTTAAACTTTATAGAACATAACTTTTTATTACCTCCCTTTATTTACATGAAATGTTAAATTCAATAATGTCTTTATAAATAATGCTTTTTGGAACTTTGAAAATTGATAAATCTTAGTTTGAGCATCATATTTACGATATAAAACCATATCAAATTGTGTTACAGGATCTTTAAAGGCAATATACTTTCATTTTTCTTTTGTATAAATAATTTGGAAGTATTTACTTTTAAAATTCAAACAACAATTTTTGACACATATATATAGCTTTATACCCTTTAAAGGTCAATATAACAATATACTATGACACGGAATCAAAAGAGACGCAAGGCACCACTGAAAATACGGAAAATATGCTTCAGTGCAGTGAAAAATATTTTTTCTACAGTGAAAATACAGAAAATGAAAAAACAATGAAAATACGCATTTTATTTCATCAATTTTTAATTTATAAGTATATGACAAATTTAACTTACTTCGGTAACATCATATACAGAAGGTCCTCCGCCTTCTTCTTTTGTTCCAGGAAGTCGGCCGTACGCTCCTCGACAAGTGATTCCAAATTGTTCGCATATTGCTCCATACGAGATAGCAGATTGTCCAATATATTACCCTTGTCCCCGTCCCTAAAAATTAAAATAAAACGTTTAAAGTATCAAATAATAAGAATATTTGTCACATTTTGTTCCTTTCCTTTTCGAACTAAATGAGACCAATGCGGGCTTTTGTACCCTAGTTTATTTACTTGAAATAACCAAATTATGTATAAATTCAATACGCGTATTTGTGATGATTGTAGCTTGTCGCCATATATGTATTTTCATATATGTTTTCGCCACATTGATCTAAGACCTATTGGATAAATCATAAAGAAACTTTTTAACTTATATATTTAACAGATATCGTTTCAGCTTTAATCACAACTCAGTGCCGCTTTTTCGACTCTGTAAAAACGGTATTTGCGCGATCGTGTAATGCACAGAATAAGGAAATGGATAGTAACACATCATATGACGTCAGATATCACGTCATTTAACTTAATGACGCACATTTAAGTTAATAACGCACAGACGTTAATGCATCAAACGGTTAGAAAACATCATTCTTACTTGTTTAACTTTCTAATTATAGACTTCAAAATAAATATGGCGACAGATGTGACGTCATTAAACTTAATGACGCCTTAGATAACATCATTCTTACTTGCTTAACTTTCTAATTATAGACTTTGAAATAAATATGGCTACATATGTGGCGTCATTAATCTAAATAACGCCTTAGAAAACATCATTCTTACTTGTTTAACTTTCTAATTATAGACTTTAATGACGTAAAATCCGGTCTCTCCATGGGATCTTCCGCCCAACAGCGTCTGATAACGACGGCGAGCTCGTCACACGGGCAGTCAAACTCCTCCAGGGTTGGGCGAAACAGGGGCTTCTGCCAGTCGCGAACTCTTTCTACCACCTCTGCAAAATGTTATACCCAATGACACCGTTCTTTAACAATGTTATCTTATATTCTACGAGATAACTTATAGTTAAGTCATAATCACAAAAAAGATGTATCATTTATTGGACACCTTTTCTACTCATCTGCTTTCTTCTAAACATCGGGTATAATATGAATTTTACCTTTTTTATAATCTGCAAATATTACTACTCAATTGCAAAAGACTTGCGCACAATTTCCTTTTAAAATAAGTTTACAATGTTTTCTAGCTCTTATTAATATTAACAAATCTTGATTATTAACAAAACCTTTGAACTATATTTTTCACAAATTTAATGACGCTGCACGCATAAATAAAATCTATGTAAAACAACAACAACAACAACAACAAAAGCAACAGCAGAAGTACAACAATACGTTATGTTGTTGGTATATATTTACGTTTATTTTCTTAAATCCTTCAAATATTTTATAACTAGATCCACAGTGAAAATTTTATATATGAATGGTGATCCAGACAAAGATTTATTTTATAACCATCTTAGTCTGCGTGATTCCAAACAAATAAATCTGGTTTAACAAGACGCTCTTTGGTTATAAATATCACCCAACCTATTAAGGTATCACACCCATAAACGGCAATTTACATACAATTTCTATGACCGCTTCAAATTTGTAAGAACACACATTTACTCGTTTTATTTCTAAGAAAAAACTGTTTTCACGGAAACTGACGAAAGGTTCCGATGTTTCGTGAACTATATATTGATGGTGGGGAAACCTTATTCTTAAAATTTTATATAAATCGAGATTAAATCCGATTAAAACGAGCACGTGGCTGAGCAATACTTCGCCATTGCTTATTTAACACACTAAATTTCAAATATTTACCACGTGCTTAAAATCCAGTTTTCTTAAACCCCATCGCATTATATATCTTTTTTTTCTTCTTTAGATTCCAAGAAAAATTGACAGATAACTAATTGTGGAAGTCTCCACAGTATGGTTTATCCATTACATTTTCACTTCTTTTTGACAGTCTAATCTTAATGAATGTGCCTCCGACAGAGAAAATAGATCGATCATATAATGTATGTCAATGACCAAAGTACTTCAAGAGTATTAATCCGCGTACAGCAGATAATTTGATTAGGCTAAAACTAAGATCTGCACGTTGATGTAAATTGGAAATTAGGTAATTAATTAGTGTCAAGATAGCTTTTTTGTTTCGATCGAATATTATTTTGACAGTCACGTTATTTGTAACATATTGCTACATACAATCAATCAAATACGTACAGTTAATAAGAAAAACAAATCCACAAAACATGTTTTAGAACATTGTCAATTTCTTGTATACACAATAAATAATCTTTCATTATCAGCTTTCAAAAAATAATCAAATAATGTCTAAAAACATTTTACATGCTTTACAAATGTCTTACCTTTTGGTTGTAGGTCAAGATTTGCCAAGTAGAATACTCCATTCCTATAAACAATTTCTTGACATATGATTGCAAAACTATATACATCCCCCTTCTGAGTGCCGTTTGGAGATCGATTGTACATTCTAAGAAGCTCTGGTGCAGTCCATAACAGACCTAAACAAATATATATGATAATGTTGAGTCCATAATAAGTCTTTAACATAGACAGGTTATACGTTTATTCATAACAAATGTACATATGTTAATACTCAAGAACATTACATATGTCTGGATATACAAAAATTCATAACAAAGCTACTATAATTCATAACAAAGCTACTCTATAATATGAACTTTACATGCAAGTCCATAACAAACCCAAACAAAGATACGGTATTATGGATGTATGTGAGTTCATAACAAACCTAAACAAGAGCCGGTTGAACCGGGTGATGCTCCCCGAATAGGTTTTGGACACAGGAAGGTATACCTCTTGTTGTGTCAGAGTTATGTCACAGACAAAGTTCAAAGTGTAAAACCAACCCAAATATTGTGCACGACACATTGTCTAAATATGGTGATCATTTTTGTGAAATAGTTGTAAAATCCGATTTCAAATAACAAAGTTATGCGCCTGACATTATTTTGCTGCAAGGTCATGCTGTGACCTTGACCTTCAACGTAGTGACCTAAATGTTGCATGCGACACGTCGATTCAATATGGTGATCATCTCTGTGAAATAGTTGTTAAATTCGACTTCCAGTAACAAAGTTATGGGCCGGACACGATTTTGCTGCAAGGTCATACCGTGACCTTGACCTTCAAGGTAGCGACCCAAATGTTGCGCGCGACACAATGTCTCATTGTGGTGATCATTTCTGTGAAATAGTTGTAAAATCTGACTTCAAATAATGAAGTTATGTGCCGGACACAATTTTGCTTCAAGGTCATGCTGTGACCTTGACCTTCAAGGTAGCGAGCCAAATGTTGCGCATGACACGCCATTTTAATATGGTCATCATTTCTGTGAAATAGTTTAAAAATCTGAGTTCAAATAAGGAAGTTATGGGCCGGACACGATTTTGCTGCAAGGTCATGCTGTGACCTTGACCTTCAAGGAAGCGACCCACATGTTGCACGCGACACATTGTCTCAATATGGTGATCATTTCTGTGGAATATTTTTTAAATCCGACTTCAAATAACAAAGTTATGGACCGGACACGATTTTGCTGCAAGGTCATGCTGTGACCTTGACCTTCAAGGTAGTGACCCAAATGTTGCGCGCGACATGTCGTCTCAATATGGTGATCATTTCTGTGAAATATTTTTAAAATCCAACTTCAAATAACAAAGTTATAGACCGGACACGATTTTGCTGCAAGGTCATGCTGTGACCTTGACCTTCAAGGTAGCGACCCAAATGTTGCACGCGACACGTCGTCTCAATATGGTGATCATTTCTGTGAAATAGTTTTAAAATCCGACTTCAAATAACGAAGTTATGGGCCGGACACGATTTTGCTGCAAGGTCATGCTGTGACCTTGACCTTCAAGGTAGCGACCCAAATGTTGCGCGCGACACGTCGTCTCAATATGGTGATCATTTCTGTGAAATAGTTTTAAAATCCGACTTCAAATAACGAAGTTATGGGCCGGACACGATTTTGCTGCAAGGTCATGCTGTGACCTTGACCTTCAAGGTAGCGACCCAAATGTTGCGCGCGACACGTCGTCTCAATATGGTGATCATTTCTGTGAAATAGTTTTAAAATCCGACTTCAAATAACAAAGTTATGGGCCGGACACGAATTCGGGACGTACGTACGGACTGACGGACTGACGGACGGACGGACAACCCGACGACTATATGCTCCCCCGAAATTTTTCGGGGAGCATAATAAAAGGTAGATGTTTTCATATTATATGTGACTCCATAACAGAAGTAAAAAAGTAAGGTAGTGTATATGAGAAAAAAACAAACCTAAACAAAACAACAAATAAACGATATGATTATTTTAAGGAGTCCATAACAAACCATAAACAAAGAAACGATATGTTATGCGAGTCCATAACAAACCATAAACAAAGAAACAATATGTTATGCGAGTCCATAACAAACCTTAACAAAGATACAATATGGTATGCGAGTCCATAACAAACCTGAACAAAGATACGATATGGTATGCGAGTCCATAACAAATCTTAACAAAGATACAATATGGTATGCGAGTCCATAACAAAACTTAACAAAGATACAATATGGTATGCGAGTCCATAACAAACCTGAACAAAGATACGATATGGTATGCGAGTCCATAACAAACCTTAACATAGATACGATATGGTATGAGAGTCCATAACAAACCTTAACAAAGATACAATATGGTATGCGAGTCCATAACAAACCTGAACAAAGATACGATATGGTATGCGAGTCCATAACAAACTTAAACACAGGCAGTTATTACATGCGGGCCAATATAAAACCTTAACAAAATACGGTTACATATGAGTCCACAACGGACCTTAACAATAATTAGTGTGTTCATAACAGATCTAAACAAAAATCAGCCCTAAGAACATATATATTGTTTTATGGCAGTCCATAACAAATCTGTACAATTATATGATACATGTAATATATGTGTCCGCAACTCACATTATCAAACAAAATGTACATCAGATGAGTCCATTACAAAACAAAACTACGGTTAAATATGTGTTCATAACAAAACAAAAAAAATCCTGTTATATTTCAGTTCATAACAAACCATAAACAAACCAAAACAAAAAAACTGTTATATTTAAGTTCATAACAAACTTAAAACAAATGTTTTCAAAGAATTGCTTATACAGGGTCAGCTTACATACACACGGCTACAAGATTCATAACTTTTTATTCATGGTTTGTTTTCTAATAAACATGTTTCGTCTGCTGGAAATGGACATACACGTATGTAATGAAATAGCCATGTTTGTTTTGTTTGTAATCAATACTGACACGCCGCATACAGATCTGTCATTATGTGAAACATACGTTATTTTTAAATTCCGTCATCTATTTATAGATGAGACGACGTGACGAAATTTTATAGATTCGCGCTCAAACTTTATTACTGGCAGGTTAACAAAGTCTGTGCTTATATATTTATCAAAATTAATTAGTCTACAAACACATAAGACACAAAGAAAAAAGGAGAGAACATAATGTTCACAACAACTTGATCGTTGTGGACTGTCTTGCCACGTGTTAACGTCATAATAAGCTATTGTTTTATATATATTGTTAGGGTCGGACATTTATATTCAATATGTATATCAAGATGATACTTTTCTTATTCCAAAACTGTTCTTTATATAGATCTACGATGGCATACATGGGCAAATAAACGAAACTCTTTTACTTGTAATAATTAGCATACAAAAACACTCATTTCTGTAATGAGTTAATTCGAATACACGTGTAAAACACTCATTTCTGTAATGTGTTAATTCGCATACACGTGTAAGACACTCATTTCTGTAATGAGTTAATTCACATACACGTGTAAAACACTCATTTCTGTAATGAGTTAATTCGCATACACGTGTAAAACACTCATTTCTGTAATGTAGTTAATTCGCATACACGTGTAAGACACTCATTTCTGTAATGAGTTAATTCACATACACGTGTAAGAACACTCATTTCTGTAATGAGTTCATTCGCATACACGTGTAAAACACTCATTTCTGTAATGTGGTAATTCGCATACACGTGTAAGAACACTCATTTCTGTAATGAGTGTCAACAAAAACTTATACATGTAAGTACCATATGATTAAATGCTCATTTCTGTAAAAATTGTTAACACAACACAACTTTAATGAGCATATAACAAATATAGTTTTGTAATGAGCATAAATCAAAACACACATTTATGTAATGAGCAAATAACAAAATAATAGTATTCTATTTAATTCTTATTCTGTGAGTGGCGGTGTGGCCAAGTGGTTAATGCGTCAGACTAGTATTCTTAGCCACGTTGGTTTAAACCCCGTCAGTGTCAAGCCGTTGTTTTCGTGAGCAAAGAAACTTTATACTCATATCTAAGCACTGGTTGGCATTACTTAGTACTGGTTGGTTTCAGGAATAGATTCGAGAGTCTTTCAATAATCATCTATTTTTAAACACAATCGAACTAAAAAAATCAGTATAAACTAACAAAATACCGACTTCTGCTAACGAGCATAAATCAAAACACTTATCTGTGTAAAGGGCATATAACATAACAATAACTACTGATTTCTGTAATGAGCAAATACCGATACTCTTTTCTGTAATGAGCATAAATCTAAAAACTCACTGTTGTGATAAGCATGAATACAAACACTTGTCTCTGTAATGAGCATACAACAAAACACTCACTTCTATAATGAGTATAAATAAAAACAAACTCACTTCTGTAATCAGCATAATTAAAACAAACTCACTTCTGTTATGAGCATAAATAAAAAAACCACTTCTGTAATGAGCATAAATAAAAAAAATCTCATTTCTGTAATGAGCATAATTAAAACAAACTCACTTTTGTAATGAGCACAATAAAACAAACTCACTTTTGTAATGGGCATAATAAAAACAAACTCACTTTTGTAATGGGCATAATTAAAACAAACTCACTTCTGTAATGAGCATAAAACATAAAACAAACTCACTTCTGTAATGAGCATACAACATAAAACACATGTATGTAATGAGCATAAATCTAAAACACTCACTTCTGTAATGAGCATACGAGCCCTCTGGAACTTCTTCGTCTTGGCCCCTCAAGTCGTGAAGCCCAAAGTCGGTAATTTTCAATACAAATCTTGAATCTACGACACAATTTGTAGACTTTAAAGCCCCGTGGCTTTTAATATCACTAGAACATAGATATGCCATGGCCTGAAAAAATAATTTTGTGGATTAAAGATAAAATTACAGTGCAACCTCTGAAGAACAACCCTCTGCAGAGCAATAATCCACGTAAGTAAAGTTATAGTAAAACTAAATAATAAGTTTCATTCCTCTATAGCAAAATCTTACTTTTTTTAGAAAATTAAATGAGTTTACGAACCAAATTCAAAGAACGATAAACGGACATTGCAGTTTATGGTTATGATCGATCGATCGAATCAATCAATCAATCAATCAATTAATCGATGGATCGATCAATTAATCAATCACATACAATCAATCACAAAAATCAACCAGTAAAATAAATAAATAAAATCACAAAAACCCAAATTTAAAATCATTTTACAAAAAACACACCCAATTTCAATTCAATCCTATCACTTTTTAATCAATCACTAAATGCCCAATCAAATTTTTATTATTGATATAAAAAATTTTCATATTTTTACATTTTTAAATCTTTTTTTACTTCAAAGTCTGTGTCTTTTTTGTACAATGAATTACTTTAAACCCGTCTGTTTTTTAAAATTTTCCCAATTTCCCTGTAACTTTCCCCCCCGATATGCTCCCTTCGCAGCTCACTGAATACACTCACTTATTTTAAGAGTAAAAAAGTGAGGGGATTTTGAGCGATAGGGGGGAAACGCAGGAGATTTAGCCTCCATTATACCGTGATACACGAAACCTTACCCTGAAAAATTTTTTACTTACTGTGTTACTTTTATACTTCCCTCTAACTAAAACCCGCATTAATGAGTATCTAAACATCCAGTCAAGCTTGATTTGCTCATTCTCTAACACGTCCTGCAATTACACGAGAAACACGTGCACTGTCAAAATTACTCGGTAATCAATTATATGAATTACAATATTCAATCATCAAGATTTAATATTTTTTTAAATTGTACGGGCACAAAGAAAATACGTATATTAAAAGATTAACAATAATAGAAGGGAGAAAAATGAGTGAAAACATTTTTTCAGTTAATTCGGATTTGTCCCGCTTTTCCTTGTCAATTACAATTATAGACGTATGTGCACGTTTACATGAAAAATACATGTTGGGAAACAGGGGAAGTTATTCCAAAACAGGGGAAGTAACCACTATCAAGGGGACGTAACCACTATCAAGGGGGAGTAACCACTATCAAGGGGAAGTAACCACTATCAAGGGAAGTAACCACTATCAAGGGGAAGCAACTGATGTCAAGGAGAAGTAACTCTATTACCTGTAGACTGCCTTTCTGGCAATATTCTGTGAGGATACACATGTGTGGAACGTCAATACAAGCTCCGATAAATCTCACTATATGGTCATTGGCAAGGTCTTTTATCTGCAAAAAAAGACCATTGTTTTAGAATCATAAAATATAATTCAGTATGAAACGATAATGATTCAGGTTTAAATGCCGATTTTGGTATGATGCACAGACAACAGTCCCGTTATTTAAAGCTGCATGCCGCCAGATAATCATTTCAAGAAAATCAACCTTGAGCAAAGTAGTAGTAATTGCAGTATGTATCACCACATTTCTACTGCGTGACTAACGCAGGAAGGACTATTTTTGCGTATTTTGACCTCTTTTTTTGATAATTAATATTACATTGTGATTGCCGTTTGCAATGTGTAAATTACTTTCTTTATTTACTATACAATGTTTTACTTTTAAATACATTTTACAAAATTTTCATGTAAAATTAGCATGAATCTGGAGGCATGCAGCTTTAAACAGGGTGCTATATAATCTAATGTAATTAGGAAAACCGGAAATGATGTCCAGAATGACTAATGCTAAAATACACACGTACTTAAAACGCATCATAGTAGTAATAATAACAATAATAATGATGATGATAATAATAATAATAATCATCATCATCACAATAATAATAATAGTATTATAAAGTTATGTCTAGACGCTTGCGTGTGCCATTGCTTTCTGGTGGTAGGGCGATAAAGGTTGTATGTCGTGTTTTCCAAGTTTCACCATTACGGCCGCCACATAAATAAACTGGTCTTGACGCACTTACAACAATAATAGGAAAACTAGAAATGTAGCAATGTCTAAACCTAGAATAAACTACATATATTATCATGTTTTTGTATTCTTTATGATTTTTTTCCTCTAGCTTATCAGAAAAAAAGTACATCAAAGCTTACCCGTTTTATTTCCATAAGTAAAGGTTTCGTCACTGTTATGTTAGACTTGTGTATGGTTTTTATAGCAACAATAGCCCCCTGTAAAAAATAAAAATAAAATGAAAAATTTACACAATTATAATATACTTTGTAGACATATATTATATACTTTATAAAACACTTATGCGACATAAGAATGACTGGAGCACGGATCATCAATGTACATGAGTAAAAAATATCAGTAAAAGTTAGTTAAAATACAAGTGTAACAAATCCGACAATAATAATACTAACAAAATACAATTATAACCAATAAAACATTGTGGTCAAAGTGGATTTAATATTGCATTGTAACCAATCAAAATAGTTGTTATAAAGCAGATTTAAATAGAATTGTAACCAATCAAATCAGTTGTAGTAAAAGTTAATCTAAAAACAATTGTTATCAATCAAAACAACTGTCGTAAATAAAAGTAGATTTAAATAGTATAATAACCAACCAAAACAGTTATAGTAAAAGCGGATTTAAATAGCATTGTAATCACTCTAAACAGTTTCTATTAAAAGACTAGACTAGATAAAAACGCTTACACATATATATAACACTTAATTTAATTATTATGGTGTCATACCAAAAAATATGTACGAACCTTATAGTACCCGGTCTTGGTGAAGAGTTGGCGCTGTCCGACGTCGCTGAGGTGTACAGCAATGGTGTCCCCGGAACACGAGCTTGTCACCGAATAACGCTAAAATAACAAGGTTCATGAAACAAATGCTTAACATATGAACTTTGAATGTAAAAGTTTTTTTTCTTTACGTATTTTGAACTGGATAATTTAATTTGCTCTCCTACTTTATCTTATTAAACGATGATGGCTGTTTGTCGTTTCAATGCCCTTTTCATACCCCGTTGTCTTACAGTAACGTTATATACCGCCCGATGCTTTATATACCACCCCTTTGTCTTCACCCCTTTGCCTTACAGTAACGTTATTTACTAAACGATGCCTTTTATAATACTGCACGTTTGTAACGTCGCTTTTCATTGGATAATCGTGACGTTTATATAGCTTTATATACACGGCTGCTGTCGATTAATGAAGAAATGTTACTTTTTTCTCTAAAAATGATGTTTGCTGTATTATAAATTCGTTATAAAGATTGTTGATAGGTTATATGGCCGTATATAAACGGCTGTTTGCAATATAACCCTCGCCTAGCGGCTCGGGTTATATTTACAAACAGCCGTTTATATAGGGCCATATAACATGTCAACAATCTTTATAACTAATAATATACCAGCCCGTTGACTTACATTAACGTTATATACCACCTGACGACTTATATACCATTCCGTTGTGTAACAATAACCCCTTCTATATCAACCCGTTGTCTTACAATAACGTTATATACCACCCAAACCCTTCCATACCACCATGTTGTCTTACAGTAACTTTTTTAACCGCTCGATGCCTTGTATTCCACCCCGTTTTCTTACATTAACGTTATCCGATGCCTTTTATATCACCTCGATGCCTTACTGTAACCTTGTATACCACACAAATGCCTTCCATACCATCCCGATGTATTATATACCCCCCGAAGTCTAATATACTGCCCGACAACTTTTATACCACTTTGTTTTTTTTTTAGACTGCCACGCGACCTTACTGAAAATTCCGATGTCTTACGTAACCGCCAGATGCTTTATTAATTTTCATATTGCTTTTTACCTCCCCAGTGTCTGATTTTGAAATTCTGCTTTCTTATCACCGACACTTATTTATCGCGCGTTTCCAATCCCCGAAAGCTTATTCATTTCCTGGCTCCTTAAACATCGTCCGATGTTTTACGCGAAGTCCAGTTTTTGTTTTCTATATACCACCCAAATGCCTTATACCAAACTCAGGTGTCATTAAAGAAATTGTTTTGTAATAGAATTGGAATGAAATGATTTTACACATGTTTTGTTAATACGAAAAGCGGATGATTTTTTTTCACAAACAAATAGGTATCGGAAATGCTTTAAAATGTCACCGCAGAGTCAAGCCCGACGTTTTGAAAGTTGCGTCCATTTAACTCTTAAAAAAGACATAAAATTGTAAACATCATAATTCATAAACAATACAAATCTATAAAGACATATAATTTTATTACACGTAATTTTGTGATACAATATTTTACAGGAAAATATGCATTATTTGGATATTCGAAAAAATTCAAATTGCGATAACAAAAATAAAAGTGCAGCATTTTTTCAAAAATAAGTAAATTATACACTATAAATATTTACTGACCAGTGCATTAAGATACGAAAAATATGAGATTCTGTTTTCAAAAATTACCCTGAACCTTATCTATTGTCTTATATATTTATAAGTTATAGGCGAGTTTTCACTACAAAACCTTATTTTTGTCTATTCTACATTCTAATGTTCTGTAAAAAAGAATAATAAACATGTATATTTCAAATAAGTTTGTGTATAACTTTTGACCAAACAATTGGAAATCGGCAATTGTTTGTTGACATTTTTATGTATACATGTATTATACAGAAATAAATCTTGGCTAACTGTTGTTTGTTTATTCCGATGTGATAATACGTTTGTTAGAATAGTTACAATGTATATAAAACATTCATTTGAAAAAAAGCATAAAAATTGATTTAAGGTTTAAATACATAAAAACACCGCGACGCTGTTCAATAGATTTTTTGAACATTAGAAAAGAGTAACTTACAACAAATTTACGACCTTTAACCCTTAACGTGCTGAGAGCCATCCCAAAAGCCTTTGCAAAAAGGCTTGGTACAAGACCGCGAACAGTTTGGTACCTGACTCGAAACAGATTGGTACCAGACCACAAACAGGTTTGAACCAGACCGCACGCAGTTTGGTATCAGACCGCAACAGTTTGGTACCAGACTGAAACAGCTTGGTACCAGACCCCTAAACAGGTCGATACCAGACCGTGAACAGGTACCAGACCACAAACAGCATGGTACCAGACCGGAAGCAAGCAGAAGATATTTGTACCAAACGACATTTTTCCAGCACACAAAGGGTTAGGTTACAAATAAATTTAAATTTTCATTATGTTGACAAAGTTACAACAAAAACCAATGAATAGAGCAAAAAAGAAAGAAAAAATTTGATAAGAAATATTACTTAAAATATAGGCATAAAATTATGCTTATACATGTTTATACTTGTACAACAAAAACATTTCTTTTAGAAAAAATAACAATATCAATTAAATTTTTAATAAATCATTAACAATATCAATTAAATCTCTTTTTAACAAAAACGTCATAAATCAACAAAGAAAAAATCTATCAAATATACATTAGTTGTTGTTTTTTTTTCTCTTAAGAACGCACGTGTGTAGACATAAATATGAACTAAATACTTCTAAATATAGACAACTTTGGTAAGGACTTTATAAATATAAGTCAACTAGTCAACAAATGAGCCGCGTCACGACAAAACCAACATAATACGTTTGCGACTAGCATGGATCGAGACCAGCCTGCGCATCTGCGCAGTCTGATTAGTATCCATGCTGTTCGCTGTTTGTTACTCTACTTGTAATAGGGTTTGTAAGCAAACAGCATAGATCCTGATCAGACTGCGCGGATGCGCAGGCTGGTCTGGATCCATGCTGGTCGCAAACCCATTATGTTGGTTTTGTCGTGACGCGGCTCAAATGGTTTCACTGTATTTGTGCTTTTTGTTTATATTTGTGATGTACATTGTATTAAATCAACTCATAGACAATGTGAAATTATAAATGATTTTATGTGAGCATATGTTTAATTTAGAATTTCTATGACCTTGAATTGAAGTTAAGTAAAAGTGCCGTATTAACATTAAGGTGTTGCATTTGATTTGAAATCTTTGTTTATTGAATTTATATTTGAAGGTGTTAATATGTAAATAGTGTGTTTTTTTCTGTTAAAGTGACATTCATAAACAGGACATGTAAAAAAGAATTGTCTTATTTCCATGCATTCATAGATGTGCTAGATTGATAAAAATATTACTTACACGAACACAATTGAGCCGCGTCACGACAAAACCAACATAATATGTTTGCGACCAGCATGGATCCAGACCAGTCTGCGCATCCGCGCAGTCTGATCAGGATCCATGCTGTTCGCTATCAGTTCCTCTACTTGTTTTGGGATTTTTGTAAGCAAAAGGGCCATGGATCCTGATCAGACGCGCTATGCGAAAGGTTTGGGTTTTGGAAATTCTTTCCCTGGTCGAAAAACCCATTATTTTTTGGTTTTTGTCGTGACACGGCTCAATTAATGAGTCAAACACTAGAATAAACCACAACAAAAACAACAAAATCTATGTACCCTGTTTAAGTGAGTGTTTCAACTTAAATATGCATTTAACAAAATATCATTTAATCAAAAATATCATTTTTTCTATCAAATAAAACGTCCTTGTGCTTTCATTAATTATCATATATTATTTTATCATATTAGATTTTGCATAATATGTATGTATACAAGTAACGTTCTTGTAACAATAGTTGAGTTTTAAATCCTGTTCTTATACAGATATTTAGAAGTTAGGGTACAGTATTGAAAAAAATATTGCACGGTTCTATTACAGATGCGGTTCTATTACAGATGCGCAGTAAATTTAAATGTAATCACGAATGCCATAAATTATGCCAATTATCTGAGCACTAATATTTTTTTTATATTATATGGCAATATAAGAAGATGGCACTCAAGTTTAATTCTAAAAAAATCTTAGTAATGGATTTGAATGTATGTGCGCGCGTTTAGAAAGAATGAGGTAATAATACATTTAGATAATATTATTTTTCTTTCTTTTTATTGTAAAATATAAACAGTTTGTAATAATATCAAATCTCAGTGGAAGACCAAAAAGACATGCTCAGCACCGTTATCATTTTATATTAACCACCATGTCGTGTTAGTTTGAACTGAAAGCGTTTATATTTTTCCATTAATAAACATTGTATGGCAATATTATGGCAACTTGGCGCGAATTCTGGTTACAAATAAAGAACGAAATAAAAGAAGTGGCAATTAAGAGTAAAATATGGCAATATCGAACTTTTAGAGATCAAATATGGTAATATATAGAAGTAAATATGGCAATGAGGAAATGTAAACGACCAGTTATAGAGCAAGCATGGCAATTTATAAGATTTAGAAATCTGTTTTGGCAATTAAGAAATTAAACATGAAAAATTTCGGCTCATTGACTTTAGTTAAAAAAAAGTTAACTTTTTCCCCGCTAAAAATATCCAAGTATATATCAATACAGATGATGTGCGCGTCAGGCGTTCAATTTCCGACACAATATGTAGAGATAACACAATATGTAGAGATAACGACAAAACAAAATGTAAGCAACATAAAAATGTGCACTTAAGTATCATTGTTGTTGATGTTGTTATTACTGTTGTTGTTGTTGATTCAACAGGCATATTATGACTAAACTAAACAGTGAGTTCGAAGTCAAGCTATAGATATATTTGCATAGATGAGTAGAATGATTGTAACGATGCTATGTTTGTATACAAAGGGAATTTTCCTGCGTGGTCATGGTTGCTAGTAAGTAACTATTGTAATAACTCTTATAAAGAAAGTCTGAAGCATTCTTGGAAATTCATATCAGCAAATAAACATAAATCTACAATATTTTAACATGACAGTAATTGGCTCTCTCCAGTAATATTGTAACTTTCTATCTTTTTA